CTTTTCTCCCAGACTTAGTCATGGGACTGTACCTTGCTGCAGGGGAGATGGAAAAACATGGTCTTCAGCTGGCTGAGCTGGCTGGCTGCGAGCCTTGGAGCTCGGTTGCTCAGAGCAGCAACGGAGAATGGCCACGGAGGTTCCGTCCGCAGCATTCCCTGCGTCAAGTTAGGTGTCTGCAGGAACGCGCAGGGTATCGAACACTAGAAAATGTATTCATGTTATTCACAACATGTCCATAGATATGGGGAAGAAAAGCATTCAATAAAGTTAAATACCTAAGACAGAAGCAAAACAAAATTGTTGTTCCTAAGAATAGCAGGGATGTTCTCTGACAATAGCTGCCAAAGCCTGTATCGTGTTCAATGGCGAAACACAGACGCACTCTTTTTAAAATCAGAAATAAGACAAAGATGCCCACTGTCGCTGAGTCTATTTAATGTCGCAGTGAAAGCTCCAGACAACCCAAGGAATTAATATCATAAAAACCAAGAAGGAAGAAATAAAACTGTCACTTTTTACAAATGATAAGGCTGTCTACAAAGACAGTTTTAGACTCGTTAGTAGCAAAATCTTTAGATAAATTATGATAAGAATTTCCACCCAGGTTGCTGTATGTATAAGTCAAATATGCAAAATTGGGCATTTTTCCTACATGTAAGCTACAAACAGAAGATGCAATTTAAAAAAGTATTAGTTACAATGATAGTGAATTGATTCAGTATCATGGAATAAACCTTATGAAAAAATGTGCATGGTCTTCCTGGGGGGAAATCATAAAACTATATTGAAAGATATAAAGAAGAACTGGAATGTGTTACTGGTAGGAAGACGGACTTTATAAAGATGTCAATTCTCCCCAAACTCCTCTATAAATCCAACAGAACTCTAATTGGAATCCTGGCATGGTTTTTCTTGGAACTTGACAAGTTTATTCTAAAATTTATATGGAAGAGCAAACAGTGAGCTAAAACTAACACTTTTGAAAAAGTTCAAGAGAGGAGAGGTTGCCTGACCGGGTGTAAAGATCTCTGACACCGAATTTCAGAAATTAAGACGATGCTGCACTTGTTCCGGGGTGGACGGATAGACCGACAGGCAGAGAAGCTAGGGGTAGACACACACAGAGACCCTGGCCGCGCGGCAGGTGGTACTGCTCCCAGGGGGAAAAGGCAGGCGGAGCAAGCTCCTTGGTAGAGGCTTCCAGAACACGTGGTCTGGGGAGGACTATGTCAAATCCGTATCTCACAAAACTGAAGAAGTCTGCACCCCTCAACGCCCGGAAATCCATCCCAAGTGTGTAAAGAGTTGAATATCAAATGCAGAACTTAAAAAGCTTTAGAAGAAAAGGTAGGCGAGTATCTTTATGAACTTGGGAGCCAGGAAGGACTGCTTTGGAAGCCACACTCACTCAAACAGCACAGGCCACTAGAGAAGACATCGGGCTACATTAAAATAAAAACTCTGTTTATTAAAAGCTGCAGCTGATTGAAAGGCATCCCAAAGACTGGCAAAGACATTTGCAATGCATATAGCACGTTAAGGTTGGGAGTCAGAATATGCAAAGACCTCCTCCAAATAAATGGGAGGATAGAGAAATGGACAAGAATTTGGAAAGGACAATGTATGGACCAGGAAGCCCAAATGTCCAATAAATGCTTGCAAAGCGTTTCAACATCCCCAGAAATAAGGTAATGTAAATCGAACCTACAATGAGATGCCAACTGATACCCATGAGGTTGGCAAGAGTCAGAAAGCCTTCCAAGGCCAAGTGTGAGTGAGGGTGTGGACCAGGGGCACCCTGCAGAGTGACTTCTCTGTGGAGGGGCAGAGGCGTGAGCCCACGGCTCTGCCCTGCCTCTTGCACTGGCTCCAGGGGGCCACAAATATGCATAGCAGAGCTGTTTGCAAAGCAAAGATGGCAAGCCTCCTACATATCCATTAGCAGATTAGAGAAGTACATTTTGATACATCCTTATCACGGGATATTACATCCCAGCAAAATCACTAGACCAGGGGCATAAGTTGAACATTTGTCAGCACGTTGCTGTGTGGAGGCTGTGCTTCCCGAATCCTAGGGCCTGGGGTGGGGAGGAAACAGTGGCTCGTCTGAGTGGACCCAGGTTGAGGACTGGGACCTCTGTGGGGAAAGCTAGGAAGGTAGACTTGGGCTGAAATAAGGAAGGGTTTTCTAGCAGGCCCGGCTGCCCAAGGAAGAAAGGGACTGCCTCTTAAGATAATGAGTTCTCCGTCATTGGAGGTATGCAAGCAGGGCCCGGGCAGCTGCCTCATGGGAAGTGAACCAAGCACTGGACATCAGTGGGCCAGGGGGGTGAGGTTGGCTAAAGATGGCCTTTATGGTCCCTCCACGCATGCCCAGAGACCCCCTGGTTCTGTGATTCAGTAAGCTTGCAAAGTGTAGTCAGAAGAAGACAGGATTGAATGAATAACCAGGCTGTGACACATCCCCGCGATGAAGCACTGCTCACTGACAAAAGGGGATGGACCTGTCACACGTGACAACGAGGACAAATCTCAGAAACACACTGAAGGGAGCGTGGGCAAGAGGCCCCTTACAGCATGATTCCATTTATGTGAAATTCTAGAAAATGCAAAGCAATCCATGAAGACCCACAGCAGATCAGAGCTGTGTGTGATGGGGTGGGGGATGGGTGGCACTGGGGCGCGAGGAAACTTTCCACGGTGATGGAAGTGTTCTCTGATGTTCTGTGTCTTGGCTGTGGCGTACACATCTGTCAGAATCAGCGGGCTTGTACCCTTCCATTCTTCTGTTGTTGCGCCCACCGCAGTACCAAGCCCCGAGCTAGGTATTCAAGGGGCGTAGAAAGCAACGCGCGCATGGTGAGGAGGGAGGTGGACGGCCCGAGTCAGGGAGAGGACTGTGCTTGGCCTGTCCCGGAGAAGTGGCTGTCTCAGGGGAGGGCAGACGCAGTTTTAGGGCCATGGCCGTGTGTGGCTGGGCAGGTCGTCTGCTGCGTCAGGGAGCCCCCGTCTGGGGGCGATGGGGGGTAAAACCCAGGACATAGTCCCCTTTCCAAGTCTCGTGGCCATACTCGTTGGCTGGGACTTCGCAAAAAGGTGCATCGTTTTTTGTTTTTGTTTTTTCTTTTTAAAAAATAAATGTTTTATTTTGGAATAATTTTAGATAGACAAGTTGCTAAGATCATAAGAGAGTTCACATATGTGTTTCACGCAGTTTCCCTTGATAGTAACATTATTTATCTAACCCTGGCATCTGTCAAAACTAAGAAATTCACTTTAGTACCATACTGTTAATTACATTTCGATTTGTTCTGGATTTATTACTTTTTCCATTGGCATACGTACATATTTTTTTCAGTTCACAGGCTGGCACTCAATCCACTGAGCCACACCAGCCAGGGCTTGTGTATATTTTCTCCTGTTTCAGGATCCAACCCAGGACACCACACTGCATTTCACGCACTGTGATTTTGTTCTCGGGTAACACAGAGGTTGCCCTATGGGATAGCAGTGGTTGGGAAAAGAATGTGGTTATAGAGGCGCCCTCAGGTGGTCTGGGAGGGAGGGACCCTAGGCTGATCATCGGGGACCCTGGGCTTTTCTGACCTGGGCTAGGTGCCCTGAAGCACCTCCCATTGGCTCAGCTCAGCCTGTGCAAAGCACAGAGCAAAGGCATGGATGTATACTGGTTGGTTTTAAATAACTGACTGGCCAAGTGTAGGAGCAGGTCTTGGGGAGACTGCGTTTCCCTTTCTGCAAGAGCTGTTTGTACAAGCCCTGTTGCTCTGGAAGGGTCCAGCCTCCAGGTGTCTCCCTCCTGGGCGGGGAGCAAGAGGGATGTTGGTGGTCCAGCAGACGCTCTGCCCCAGCTCCACACTCTCCTGCAGTTTCCTGGTTTGCCCTGAGTGAGTGTTGGGCGGGGAGGGGGCGGTGACCAGTGGCTCTGCACACCTCTTCCTCGCCCCTGGAGCTGGAAAGGCGCTGGGCGTGGGGAGCCGTGGCAATGAGGAGTGCAGACAAGGCGGACTTGCAGCCCACTGGGGAGGCTCCGTGCTGCTCAGCCCCAAGGCGGCCAGGGCTCAGTGGAAGGAGCACTCCCCCTCCCTTGAGCCGCAGAACCGAGACTTTGTCCCCCAGACAGCAGCTGGGGCGCCAGGAGGGTTTGGAGTTACCTGACTTCTCAGACCCTCTGTTTCTGCATCTTTAAAATGGGCTGCGGTTCTAGGTTCCAAGATGCCGGGCCCCACAGGGCTGCCTCCAGCGCAGAGCCTGGCTGGTGTGGGGCACTGCCTGTCACCTCCCTTTTATGGCGCCTTCTCCCCGAGCCCACCTCCACCTCCCTTCCTGCCTGATCACCCTCCCCCATGTCTCTATCCTTCCTCGCTCAGGGGTTCCCACACTGGCCTCTCTTTAGCGGGGATCCTCCGTGTCTTGCTCATGCACCTCCCTCATCCAGAGCGTCCTCTCTGACACCACCTTTCAAATGCCAGCTTGAACGCCACCTCACAGGCCCAGCTCTCCCTCTGTGTAACTCTGAGGTCCCCTCCCTGCAGATCCCCGGTGGCCCCATCACTTCCTGCCTTGCTTTATGGACAATCTCGATGAGGTGGATGAGCTCGTACCATCCCCAAGAACCGTCCATGCCCTTTGCATCCTGGACCCGCCAGGACCTGCCACTGTGCCCAGCCCACAGCAGATGTTCAGTAAATGTTCAGCAGATGTTTGTTGCTTAGAATTGAGGTGAACTGAATTCTTGGAAACCTCAAGTTCTTGGAAAACAACTCTGGCCTGACCCCTGGAAGTGAGTCCCCAGCTGAGAGGGTCCCTAAGGCTCCAGCTGCTGCCCCAGAGCAGGGATGGGGGGGTGGCCAGGGCCCGGCCCAGCACCTGAGGTCCCCTCAGCTGTTCTGCCAGACCGCATGCTCCGCCTCCTACAAACGGCTGTGGGGGCAGCAGCTTGGGCAAGTTCCCCTTCCGCTTCCTCCTGCCTCCTGGCCGCTGCCGCTCCACCGCCGGCCCTCCTCAGGTTCTCCACACCCCTGGGGCCGCAGAAGCAGCGCTCCACGGTCGCCGCCGCCGCCGCCGCCCCGGGTCCGGACACGATGCAGGCCATCAAATGTGTGGTGGTGGGAGATGGGTAGGTACCTGGCTGAACTCCCTTGCGGCCCCCTACCGGGGAGCCCTGAGACCCTCCTGCACAGGTGTCCCTGGCGGAGCCCCCTTACCTGTCGAGGGACTTGGGAGGCAGCCAGGAGGAACTGTCCCTTCTTCTCCCAGGAACCAGAGGGAGCCCCGGGGTGGGTGGAGGACAGTTTCCCTCTCTCTGCCCACTTCACCCTGGGAACTTCCTGGGTGGAGGGCATGGGACTGTGGGTGTGGGTGCCTGGGGCCCTTTGCCTGTACCGAGGGTGCTGGGGCAGTTCTCCCGTGGGACCTCAGTCTTCAGCTCTGTGCAGGTGGGTGGGGGGTGGGGAACCAAAAGTCTGGCCTCTGTCCCCAGGCTGATATGGGCCGTAGTCACTGGCTTATGCAGCTGTGTGATCTTGGGCAAGTCACAGCGTCTCTCTGAACCTCAGCTTGGCACCGGGGAGCTCCCACTGGAGTCGATAGGGGTCACTTCAGGCGTTTGGGTGGTTGCCCTGCACAGAGCGTGTGCTCAATAAACGCCAGCCTCCTCCTCCCACGCCCCCTCCCCACCTGGGGCTGCCTGTTGGGAGGACGTGCGGGGCTGGGGGTGAGAAGCAGAAGCTGGGGACAGGAGAGGCAGAGTTAAGGAGGGATGTGGAAGAAGACATGTGATTGTGGGGGTCAATTCAGGCAAGGCTGGGCTGAGCCACCTTCTCAGCTGCCAGGCTTCAGTGGCCTCAGGTGGTCCTGTCCTCCCTTGGGCCTCAGTGTCCTCAGCTGTGAGAGGACAGATCCAAACGCCAACCTCGGGTGCCTGCCAGGGACAAGGTCGGGGCCTGGCCCACGGGAGCATTCTGGGGTTTTCTGCCGGTGCACCCCAGCCCCTCCCACCACATTCTAGCTGCACGGGCCTCTTGTCCATCCTGCAGAGGGGCAGCCAGAAGCCTCAAGAGACGAGGATCCTTCCCAGCCTGGGTCCCGGCGGCCCGGCTTCCTTGGACCCCAAGGGCTGGCTGGGGGCAGGCCGGTGGAGCAGGCTGCCCTCAGCTGATGCGGAGGCACTGCTGGCCCTTATCTTCCCGCCTGCCCACTTCTGCTTTGTGTCAGATCTGAGGAGCGGAGGGCGGAAGCCACGGGCAACGTTCCAGGCGTTTAAAAGTTACCGTGCTGGCGGGCCCCAGCGAGGGCGGGGTGGGGGGGTCGGGGCAGCCGGCTCCTCCAAACAGGAAGTGACGAAACAGTGGAGCAGGTGGGGGAGGGCCCGGGCCGCCCCTTTGGCCCCTACCTGCGTGCCTTGCCAGCCCAGCAGGCTGGGGCCAGCGGCATGAACGAAGGGCCCTCGCTATTTATTTAGCATTCACTGCGCTGCCCGCTGGGCTTGGGCACACCCTGTGTTGTATCGTCTCGCCAGCCTCACAGGAGGCCCATTGTGCAGGAGGGAGAGCCAAAGCTCAAAGAAATGAAATAATTTGCCTAAGAACTCATGGGATTTGAACCCAGGTCTCCCTGGCTCCAAAACTCTGAGCTCTTAACCTGTATGCTTGCCAGTGAGGAAGGACAGCGGAGGGTGGGCTTCCCCACTGGCTGGTGGCAGGAGGTGCCCTGCACTGTGCTTGGTTTGCTTATGGGCTTCGTCTAATTTACTTTTTAGGACACCCCTCTGAGGATGGACTCATCCCTATTTTCTAGATGGGAAAACTGAGGCATGGGGAGGTTAACTGACTTGCCCACGTTCATGCTGCTGGCAGATGGTGGGCCAGGTGTGCAGTGGCAGAGCCCTGTTCAAGCGCTGGGGGCCCCGCAGCATGGTCCAGTTCAGGGGGTGTCTTGGGCACCCCCTGCCCTCAACCGTCTGTCCCACATCAGTGTCACCTGGGAAAGCTTTTCCAAAACTCAGATCCCCAGTTCCGCCCCCCAGCCACGGATCGGCAGCTCTGGGGTAGGACCTGAAGTCTGCCCTTGAACAAACGCTGCAAATGGCTCTAAGGCTCTCAGGTTTAAAGACATTGACACTGGGGACACTGAGGCCCAGACGGGTGGACCTGTCTCTTCCCTGAGGCCCGGGCTAGGCGACTGGGCAGGGCCCGTGACCGGTGCCCTCTGGAACTTCCTGTCTTTCAGAGCCGTGGGCAAGACCTGCCTTCTCATCAGCTACACCACCAACGCCTTCCCAGGAGAGTACATCCCCACCGTGTGAGTCTGCCGCGTGGGCGGGGCGCTCGGAGGTGGGGGGACACGCATCACCGAGCCCACCGCCTTCTCAGGCACTTCTTGTGTGCCGGCCGTGTGTGGGCGCTTGGGGGTCGAGCAATCGGGAGGCGTCCCTGCCCATCTGCCTGGCAGAGCTGCCTAATGGTCTGGCCGGAGGGGCAGCCACCAAGGGTGGCCACCGAGTGAGGGCTGCGGGCTCCTAAAATGGAGACTGTGTCAGGCTGGAGGCTGCTGGAGGGGAGCAGGTGGCCTTCAAGAGGAAGAGGGAGATGGGGGGCTGGCCCGAGCAGAGCAGCGTGGGAAGAGGGGCGGGGTCAGAGAAGTGGAGGAGGGGGACCAGGCAGGGAAAGGGGGAGGTACTGGGGGGCGTTGGTGGCAAGGAGCAGAGGCACCAGGACACACATGCGAGTGTTGGGGGAGAGGGCAGTGCCATCTGGAGGCCAGTCAGAAGCCCCGCCCTCCATCAGATGTGGAGTCAGGGTTGTCATTGGACAGGTGTGTGACAAAGTGTGGGTATCAGACTCCGAGAGGGAAGGATAAGGCGGAGCACCAGCCCCTCCCCTCCCAGCCCCCAGTGGCCCCCATCGCTCCCGGGTCAACTTCCCAGCTCTGTAGCTCACATTCAAGGCTCTGTGTGGTCGTCTCTCAACCTTCCCTTCCAGCTTCATGGCCCTTTTGGTTCACCAAACATTCCTGGGCACTTCTGCCTCAGGGCCTTCGCTCAGGCTGTTCCCTCTGCATGGAGGACCTGTCCTTCCTCGTCCACATGGCTAACCCCCGGGCCCGGGCCCCGAGGAAGCCTTCCTGCTCCAGCTGGAAGGGGCCTCTCACTCCCCAGAATGCCTTTATTTGACCTTTGACCACAAGCCTAGGGGTCCAGTTCTTTCCAGGTCAGCCCGTTGTCTTAGCACAATCTCTTGCACAGTATAATCTACACGTTGCCTTAGACACAATAGATATGTTTTGAGTTGACTTGCATTGAATGTCATGGGGAGGCTGTAAGAGGACGGATCATAATGGCTGCCATCTTTTAAGGGCCTGCTATGTGCTGGCCCCCACAACATGTCACATGCATGTGACCTCATTTGATCCTCAGGGGAGCTGGGTAATGTGATACCAGCTCACCCCAGGAGGAAGCGGAGGCTCACAGCTACGAAGGGGCCTGAGTTCCCTCTACTGATATTTGTCCCTGGAACACAGGCCTGTCCCCGGCAGGAGGGAGGCAGGCAGCCAGGACAGGGCAGGGAAATGTGGACAGGGAGCCTGGAAAACCGGTTACCGCCCCAGCTCCGTCCCCGACCCCCACTAGCTGGATGCCAGCGCGCACCTCGCTCCACACTTGCCCTCAGCTGCCTGTTCACCATCAATCCTCAAGCGCCTATCCGCACCTGCTGGTGCCGGGGGAGGGGCTGGCTCCAGCCCTGAGCAGTGAAGCAGCTATGCAATCAGGCTAAGGCATCCCCTACAGAAGGCCATTGTCACCAGCAGTGTGTTCCTGCCCCAGCTGGGCCAGAGGACTCACTGCTGAGGGACGTTACACCAGCCACATCCACCAGTGAGTCAGCCTGCGCTCATTGCCTGGTGCACCCCCTGCTCAGGGACATGGGAGGTGTCCTCTTCGGTGCAGGATGGTGTGACCCAACCAGCGGCCAGCTGCTCTCAGCAACTTGGAGAGACTGGCCCCTGGTGGACTCAGTTGTCCTGGACACCCTTGCTGGAGGACAGACAGAATGGACCGGACGAGGCCAACCTTCCCAGGACCCTGAGGCCAGGGCCGGCTTCCCTGGGAAGCCGCACGGGCCCCACGCATGGGAAGGGCCATGCTTGCTGTAATGTCCTCATGTCCCCGGCTTGAAATTCTTCATATTTGAACAAGGACTCCTGTGTTTTCATTCTGCATCGGACCCTGCAAAGTGTGTGACCGGCCCTACCTGCCACCCTCCTGTGTCTTCCAGGACAGGGTGGCTCAGCCCTGGACGAGCCCCAGAGCGGCTCCTGATGCGATCCCTGCGCCCCCGGGAAGGGGGCGGGCAAGGACGGATAAGCGGTACCGAGCCCTTGACGTTGAAGGATCAGGGCAGCTGCGGAGGGTGGAGCTGGGGAAAGCAGGCCCAGAGATAAAGGTCTGAGAGCTTCTGTCTGGGGCTGGGGACGGCAGGGTTTGCTGGGAACAGGGAGGCACATGCTGCCACTCAAGATCAGATAAGCGAGGGGCTGAGCTCTGCTTGCTCCCAGCAGCTGAACAGCTCAGGGGGAGACCTCCATTTCACAGATAAAGAGACCAAAGCCTGCTCAGTGTTGGGGATACAAAGACATGGCAGGAAGACCCTGCCCTCGGGCGCGGCGGGTATGCGGCTGAGGGGTCTCCCCTTTCCACCGCTCCTCCTTCTGGCCTTTCTCAAATGGAAGCCCAGGTGAACTTCAGAATCAAAAATTAGGGGGAGCCACTCTCTGGCTTAAATCCCTCTCATAGCTCCCCTTCACAGTTAAAGCCTATCTCCCATCCCATCCCCGAGTTCAAAGCCCTGAATGCCGCCCCCTCTGCCCCCACCACCTCAGACACTCCAGCTTCCCACAAGCCTCCGCTCTCGCCCCCTGCCCATCATTCAGTTCCTGGCTTGGGTATCGCCCCCTGTCTGTTGCGGTCCCTCCCCTCATCCTGCTCCACGGTCTCTATAGACCACCCTGATCTGACTTCCCCGCTGGAGCGGGAGCTCTGGGGGGTCAGGGCCCTGTCCTCCACGGTCCCACCAGCTTCCAGAGCAGAGCTGAGCACGGTGCAGGCGGGCCATGCTCCAGCCTGCCCTGAGAAGGTGCTGGAACCAGGGCACCCCTTTCACCTTCCTCCTCTCTAGTCCAGCGCCAGGGCTGGGCTTGCGGGCCTGGGGGGCGGCAGGAAGGGGCAGCATGGACTCTGGGAGAACACATCCCGGCTGTGTGGCCTGGGGCAGGCTGTCCCCCCTCTCTGATTTTCTGTTTCCTCATGTGTAAAATAGGGGACAATGGCAAATGTCCACTTCCTGGGCCCACTGCAGTGATCTAAGTGTGAAGGGCCTGGAACAGTACTTAGCACCCCTGGGGGCTCAGCAAATGTGAGCTTCCTGCCCCCCGCCCCCGAGAGTTCAGAGGTAGCTCCCATCCCTGGCTTAAATGTCACTGAGTCCCCAGAGGGCCATGAAGTCGTAGCGGCGCTTAACACACAGGCTCTGAATTGGGTGACATGATCCCGTCCTGGCCCTGCCACCAACTGACCGTGAGGTCTCGGGCAAGTCCTTTCCTGCCTGTGAACCTCGAACTCCTCGCTGGCCATGGGAGTGAGGGTGGCCGTGGCAGGCCCTTCCGCCCGGGCTGCCTGCGGGTCTCTGAGGTAAGGGGGACCCCCGGGAGCAGAGGACCGCTGACCGAGGGCCCTCTGGGGAGCGGCCCGTGGAGGGGTATGTAGGGATGTGGAACAGGAGATTACTCAGCTTCTCAGCAGCTCCCCGTGGGGTGGCTTAAATGTTCTCTGTCTTTCTGGATCTTCCCAATGGCCCCAGAGACGGGGCTTTTTTCCACAGTGAAGAAAATGAGGCTCGGAGAGGCTAGCTTCCTCGCCCAGGGTCACACAGCCGGGACGAGGCTCCACAAGGAGCTCTGCTCCCTCCCGACTCTGGGTGCCTGATTCCAGGCGGCTGTCCCCAGGCTCACCAATGGGTGGCATGGCAGGAGCAGGGTTCAAATCCCAGCTCCCGTGCTTCTGAGCTGGCTGGTCTTGAAAAAAATTACTTCTCGGGGCCTCAGTTTCCTCCTCTGTCTAAGGGGAGTCACTTGAGGTCCTCTTGTCTTGGGTCACGTGGACCTTCAAGGCCTAACATATGGAGGCCCCAGGCCTCTGCCCGGCCCCAGAGTTGGTGCCCGGTGTTGCCGCAGGTCCCGGGATGCAGCTTTTCCCCGACGGCCACAGTCCCTGAGACCCTGGGGGGTGGCCCAGAGAAGAGGGACACCTTTGGCTCAGGAATTTTGGGAGGCTTTCGGACACCAGAGTTTCAGACTGGACATTAGAGGAGAGAGTGTCCCAAAACCCTAAGCTCATCCTATAGGAGTGTTTCTGGTGGAACCAAAGACAAGACAGGCACTTTTTTCCCATCATGCCCAGTGGAGTGTCCCTGGACCTGAAGTCCCATGGCAGTATGGGTGGTGCCCAGAGGAGGTACGCAGAGCACCTACTATGTGCCAAAGGCGGTACTGGCTTAAGGTGCGGTGAGGACCAAACCAGGCTTGGTGTCTGCTTTTGGAGGTGCTGAGTTCACCACAGGTTGCTGGAGTGGGACCCCAACTTGGATGAGAGTCAGGGAAGGCTTCCTGGAGAAAGTGACATTGGGATCCAGCTGGAGGAGACTATGTAAGAGTCTGCTGAGCAGTGCAAGGAAGGCTGGGAAGTCCGGGGGGTGTTTGGAGCTTTCCAGGCAGGAGGCAGAAGGGCCATCTGAGGGACTGAGAGGCGACCAGGCACACTCTCCAGGGCTGGCCACATAGTGTGTTAAAAACGTCAGGCCGCCAATTTTGGTGGGGGGGTATGCGGGGTCTTCCTTAGGACAGGTGTCTTCAGAATTACTCTGAAGCATCAGGGCTTCTGCAGCCTGTCACCGAATAGCATTCTGTGAGGGCTTCATGGAGGAGGTGACTTTCTGAGGGCTTCGGTGAAGTTTGATGTAATTCCATTCCACCTGTGTCTGTACTCGCTGCCACACATGAGGCTGCAGAGCTGAAGCAGGCGGGCCATGTTGGGGGACAGAGGCACCCTAAGTGCCGTCTTCTGGTCAAGGCAAAGCGGCTGCCTGTGGAAGGGAATGGCGCACTCTGTCCAGGCCAGGGACAGGGAAGGAGGTGGCGACAAGGGTTCCCCACCACGGAGGAACCGCCTGGGCAGGGATTGGAAGCCTGGATAGGAGATAAGGGTGAACAGGGGCTGGAAGGGTATTGCATCCAGAGCGGCCAGGAGCAAAGGCCTGGGAGGGTGGGGGCAGAATATTTGGACAAGGAGAGGGGGTCAGGGCACCCCAGGCAGGTGACACAGCGTGAACAAGTGCGAGGGGGCAGGCGGTGGGAGCCTGGCCTGGGAATGGCTTGGCTGGCCTGTGGCGGGAGGAGTAGGAAGAGAAACTGGAAGAGCCTGAGGTCTCAGTGGACCAGGTCAGGGGACGATGGCCTGTGTGGGTGACCTCGACGGAGCGGGACAGCTGGCATCTCTAGCCCTCAGGGACAGGACAGGGAGCACCTGTGGAAGCCCACCTGTGGCACTAGCTTCTCACCTCGTTTGGTCCCTCACTGGCTGTGCAGCCTTGAGCAAGTTGCTAGGCCTCTCTGATCCCAGTTTTCTCTTCCACAGTGTGGGGAACCAGCACCTTCTACTCAGGGATGAGTGCAGTGAAAATATTTTTTTCTGTTGAACTGAATAATTTTTTCAAAACCCAGCAGCTCATGTCATTGCCCTGGAGGCCCCTCTGGTGTTGGCTGGCAGGAGAGTTCAGCAGTGGATGTCGGTGCCCCACGCTATCCGTTTGGCATGCGTCTTTCCAGCGTGTGCTGGTGGCTTTCCCCCAGATCTCCCGTGACTGACAGTTCTCCGTGTACCCTCTGGGTGGGTTGGGAAACCAGGGAATTAACACCCTAGGACATCCTTCTGCCAGCGGAAGATGGAGATGGGGGTAATACCCCAGCTTCCTGCCCCTACAGGGGGCGGCCTGGGCACGGTTCCTGCTGTCTCTTAGGGGGCCCTGGCTGGCCTGAGCCCCAGGTGCCCACAGCAGTAATAGGTTCCTCACTCGTACTATGTCTGCTGCTGCCCCTTCCTTGACTCCTCCCCTCGACCTCTGGTAGCTGCCTAGGCTCACATCCCCAGTAATCCACTTGTACCACCTCCTCATCGCACGGTTTACTTCCGGGGTTACCCAACCTAAGACAGGGAGGAACCCTTGTTTAGCAAATACTGGGCGACCAGCCTCAATGTCCAGCATAGGAGGTGGGTTAAATTTATTCTGATTAAATTTAGAGGGAATATTACACAGCCTTGAAAAATCACTTCTTCAAAGGATAGGTGAGGCAGAAAAGTGATCTAGACAGCGTTTTCCTCTTCATGCTCACCTGAGTTTAAAAGTCTTTATGTTGTGAATCAGTAATGAAAAAAAAAAAAGGAGGAAACCCAATTCATTGCAGGGTGCTGTGTGACTCGGTCCTGTTGCAGGCCCTCTCTGGGTGGGGCTGGACCAGAGGGGCCTGGGCTCCGGGACTGGAGACTGACCCTCTGTCTTGCCTTCTCCCCACAGGTTTGACAACTACTCAGCAAATGTGATGGTGGACAGCAAGCCAGTGAACCTGGGGCTTTGGGACACAGCTGGGCAGGAGGACTACGACCGCCTCCGGCCACTCTCCTATCCGCAGACGGTGAGCGCCCGCCCCTTTCCTTGTGAGTCGGCCTCTGCTCGCCTTGTTCCCTCTGTGCAGGGTGCCCTTGGGTCGGCTTGGCCTGGTGAACCCTGACCCTCCCCTTAAGGCCCAGCTTGAGGACTCCGCCTTGTCCTCCCTTGGCACAGCCAGGGACTCCTCCCTCTGCCCTCTGCCCTCTGCCCTCCATCAGTCCCTAGTTACCACTCTGCCCGCTTCCCTGGCCCCCCATCCATGGGCTCTGGTGCCACCTGTGGGTGGGGCAGGCAGACCCAAGATGGGGCTTCCATTGGGAGCCCAGGATAGCGAACCTCAGGTGTGCTGGGTGTGCCGGGTGAGGGCACAAGAGACTGGGAAAGCCTGCAGGTGATTCTGTGGTTACTGGGCAACACCCCCCGCCCCCAATACCCTTGACCTTCCCTCCAGGGCTGGGGCTGGTAACCAGATGGCGGGGTAGTGAGTGCCTGGCCAGGAGGATGGATTCTGGAGCCCCAGACAGCAAACTCGTTAACCTTGGCGGCCTCACTCTTCTGATCTGGGGGACGGGGGCGGCAGCCCTCAGTGGGATGCTACGTGAGGATGAGCCGCTAAGGACAGACCTGGCCTCTGGGAAATGCTGGGTAACCAAGCAGCAGCTGGGTGGTGGGCGGCAGGCCTCCCTGCTCTGCCAGACCCCGCCCCGCAGTGTCCCCTGGGCTGCTCCACTGCTCAGTGCTGCTGTGTGGGGGTGTGGGAACACAGGCGGGACATGCCTGGGCCTCCCCTCACCTGTGCCCCTTGCCTGCTCTGTCCCCAGGACGTCTTCCTCATCTGCTTCTCCCTCGTCAGTCCAGCCTCCTATGAGAACGTCCGTGCCAAGGTGAGCGGGCTGAGCAGGGCCTGAGGGGCCTTGGGGCTTGGGGACAGGTGACCCTGAGAAAAGGAGGGAGGGACTGGCAACTGGAAGCTTGTCCCTGGGGCAGCAGAGGGTATGGGTGGAGAGGGCTCCCAGTGCCACCTGGGGCTGGGGGACTCGGGGATGAGCCTCGGAGGGGGTCTCCGAGGGGGCTGGGAGCATCAGCTCTAGTCTCTGCCATCTGTGACCTTGTCCTCTCCCCCCCACATACTCCCCAATGCCTGCCTCTTATCTCTGTGCAAAATCACGCCTCCTCTTTCCCTGCAACCACGTGCCTCCTCCCTGCACAACCTCACGTCTCCTCTCCTTGCAACCTCATGGCCACGTCTCCTCTTCTCACCCCTTCGGGCCCCTCTCCTCCCACTCTCACTCTTCCTCTGCTTCCTACACAACCGTGCGCCCTCTCCCCTTGTCTCGCACAATCTCCTGTCCCCTCTGGTCCCCCCCACCTGCCCAGTGGTTTCCCGAGGTGCGGCACCACTGCCCCAGCACGCCCATCATCCTGGTGGGCACCAAGCTGGACCTGCGGGACGACAAGGACACCATCGAGAAGCTGAAGGAGAAGAAGCTGGCCCCCATCACCTACCCACAGGGCTTGGCACTGGCCAAGGAGATTGGTACGGGGCTCGGGCTCAGAGAGGGGAGCTGGAATCAGAGGCAGCCCCGACTCAGCCTCTGCTGATCGCAAAGGCGGGGTCCAGGGCCAGGCTGCGCGGTTCAAACCCTGGCTGCGCCGTGGCCTGGCTGTGTGGCCGTGCGCGTCTCTCAGCCTCCCGACACCTGTTTCCTCCTCAGTATAACCTAGCCATAGTAATAGCTCTAGGCAGCTGGGAAAAAACAAATGAATGGATACACATGAAGCCCCAACAGCAGCGCCCGCGCGAGGGAGGCAGGCTGTGTTCATTATCATTAGCTGCAGTATAGTCCATAATCAGACCTCGAAGTGAAGCGTTTTGCACAGACGGAGGCAGGGATGCAGCAGGGTGTGCTGTGCCTGCTTAGGGGACGAGCAGCCAAGGCAAGTGTGGGTTCCCAGGAAGGCTTCTTGGAGGAGGTGCTTGTGCCTGGGGTTTGAGGGCTGAGGGCCTCCCTTCTGTCTCCTCCCCTCCCTCCCCCGGCCCCCAGACCTCTCGGCCCAACTCCTCTCTGCCTCCTGATCACTGCACCAGAGAAGTAGAGTGACTTTTTAAGGTCACAGCGCTAGTAGGCGGCAGAACTGGGATTTGAACGCAGGGCAGCAAGCAGCTGGCTTGCGGGCATTCTCGTGGTCGCCCGTACCAGAGAGGTGATGACTGAGGGGTCTGGTCTCTGTCATGGTGTCAAGACCTGCTGTCCCTGGTCAGGCCCTGAGCTGCCTGCAAGTCCTGGACCGCCAGCGGGTTCAGCCACTACCAGGGGCCAGCCAGCTGCCCAGGACCCTCTGCCTCACCCCAGGGTCCTTCTGGCCCAGGGTTTGGCCCCTCAGCCAGTCGGGCCCCCACACCCTGTCCCTGTCCCTGTCCCCGCCTCAGCCCCACCAGGCTTCCTTCCCCCGGAACTGGGAGGGCCCTGGGGACTCACATCTCTTCACAGGAAGAGAAACCGCAGCTGCCACCTCCCCCTCCCCGTGACTAGCCTAGTGACAAGGCCACCTTCTCTCGGGGACTTCAGGATGCCGTTTAAGCCCTGGGCCCATGCCCCAACCTGGGGGCTCTGGCTCCCCAGCCTCACAAATATCAGGGGCTGCACCCCGTCGTCTCTTTCTTTCTGGCCGTCCTGTCTCCCTGGACGCCTCCTCCCAGACTGGCCTGCCAGCGCACACTCGACCGTTTCCCTTTCCAGGCACATGCGTTGGGGTTAGAAGGGGCAGGAGAGTCTGGGGGCTGGTCCTGGCTCTGCTACTGACCGTGTGATCTTGAGCCAGTGGCTTCTCCGTGGGCCTCAGTCTCCCCACCTGCACAAGGCAGCCTACAGAGTCCCCAAAAGTTCTTTCTCCTCTGTAAGCAGAGGACCTGGGGCTCCTGTCGTGGCCTTTAGCTAATCCCTCCTGGAGCTGATCCCAGATGGTGGTGGTGAGGGGGTAGGGGCAGGACCTGCCCAGGCCAAGGGGGAGGAGACCTGGAGGCTGGGGGCGGGGATTGGAGGGTGGCTTCAAGCTGATGAGGACAGCAGCTGCCAGGCACACTGGCCCCCTCCCCAGGCCTGGGCTGGTGAGTCACTGGGGCAGCTCAAGCCCAGCTGATAATCGCTGCTGCTGTGGACGGGGCCGGGGGAGCCGTGCACATGCGTTTCCCCTCTTTATTCTCAGGGCAACTGCAAAGCGGGGCTTCTTGAAGAAGCCCTCACTTCAGCGGAACTGTTGGAGCTATAGCAGATGTGGAGCTCACACAGGTTCCTTTTGAAGGTCTCAGAACAGTGGCCTGGGGAGCTCAGCCTGCCCTTGTCTCTGTCTGGGCTGCGGGCTCCAGCCCTGAGAGGTCATGTGGGAGGGGCCCCCTCCCTGTTCCCCTCCTGGGAGTAAGGAGGCGCCTCCAAGTCCCTCTCCTCTCACTGAGCGTCCCCCACGGCCGCATGTGACATTGGACAAACAGCCTCACCTCTAGATGCCTCCACTTCCTTATCTTTAAAATGGGGTGATGCTAAAGAATGCTCAGACAACACTTGGAAGGACCTGGTGAGGGGACCCTGAGTGACCCAGGCCTCACGGGGAAAGCGTGGAGGCAGGACGGTGGCTGTTCTAGGAGAAACTGAGGCACAGGGAGGTTTGGTCACTAGCTTGAGCCCTTTTCTTTCCACGAAAGTACCAAAATTCCTGCCACCCTCCCACAAATTAACAGCTTCTGTGTCCAAGAAAGGCACAGAGCTGCTCTTGTGGGTCTTACCCCCTCCCACCAATGTCAGGAGAAAACAGGCGCAGAGGGGTCGATCCTCTGCTGTGAGTGACCCAGCCCACGTGGCCCCCACAGCCTGGGGCCGCTGTGTGGCTTGGGAGCGGATCTAGCCCAGGACCCTCCCCTGACCGAGGCCTCTGCCCTCTCGCTGCCACACCCCAGATTCGGTGAAATACCTGGAGTGCTCAGCCCTCACCCAGCGAGGCTTGAAAACCGTCTTTGACGAGGCAATCCGGGCCGTCCTGTGCCCCCAGCCCACGCGGCCGCAGAAGCGCCCCTGCAGCATCCTCTAGGGGTAAGAGCCCCCCCGCCCTCACTGCTTCAGGACCTCCTCTACCCCGCTCCCCACCACGCGGCGGGCTCTGGCTGGCAGCTCCCTCAGTTTCACTGGGAATGGCATTTAGACCAGGACAGAAGGGGAGAAACGAGTGGCTTCAGTTTCCCCATTTGCCTGAGGCAGTCCTGCTCAGTGAGCCCAGGTCCCAGAAGGAAGATCCAAGGTATGAGAAAAAGCCAGGTGACCGGAGCCAAGCCCTGGGTGTCCCTGAGCTGCCACTCTGCCCTCCCTGCAGCAGGGTGGGAAGACAAGGGGTAAATAGGCCTCAGCCCCTGCAGCCCTCCCACCCCGGGGAGCCCGGTCCAGCCAGGGAGACCTGACACCCACATACAGGGGTGGAGGCAGGGACAGCAGAGCCGTGAGATTACTGGGGCAGCAGAAGGCGGGAGAGGACTTGGAGTCGGGGGAGAGCAGCATGGGCACTTCTGAGGGAGGGGACGACCTTGAACGACAGCTGGGAGCCGGGGATGAGCAGGGAGCTGGGGATGAGCTGGGAGCCGGGGAAGCTGTGGGCTAGCTGTAGGTCCTGCGTGTCCCCAAATTCTCACGCCCTGCCTGTCTCCCTTCCAGGTCATCCCACTCCTCCCAGCCAGATGGCTTGGACCCTCCAGGGCCCCCATCCACCTAAAGCCCAGTGGCACCCTGGCTGGCCATGCTGTCCCCTTCCTGTGGCATTTCTTAGCAGACAGCTGCAGAACTTGGTCGATCATCTTCTCTGTGCTGGAGGCTCCCTTGAGTCTGAAGGTGTGAATCTTTAGGTGCCGCATCCCGATCCCCTCATGCTCCTGCCTGCCTGGGGGCCACAGGGGAGCCCCAGGACCCAGTAAGCCACCCCTGCCTTACTGCTGTCAGCACCAGCATCGCATGTGGCAGCACCTGTCCACTGGCCCCAGCCTCGCACAGCTCCTGAATCTACTCTGGAAACTTGGGGCCAAACGGTTGCCAGCCACCACTTGTGCATCTCCAGGGATGGGTCTCGCACTCTCTCCTTGAGTGTTGGGTCTTGAGCTCACTCCCATGCTCCCATGATGGTCCTTCTTGTTGGAACGTTGCAAGGAGCTCAAATGAGTGTTTTGGAAGTAGGTCCCTCAGGTCCTGATGCTCCTTTTGGGACAACATGTGACCAATCAGATTTTCTAAAATCTCTGCAGTCATCTGCCCAGCAAATCCAAAATCTGGCTGCAGCTGACTCCTGGCATCTCTCAAGTCTTTCTGCTCTGCTCCCAGGATCCTGAGCTGCATTTACCTGTGAGAGTCTTCAAACTTTCAGATGCTGCCACTCAGGACTTTTGCTATTGCAAGTAGAAAACCGCATTTAACCTGCTTAAGTAGAAAATAAATGTATTGATTCAGGTTTGGAAATCGCATGACTTCCTGTGCAGCGTGACTGAGGGTGCTTGGATGATGTCCCCAGGGCTTCACTTTCCTGACCCTCTTTGCTTTGTCTTCTGCCCACTCATTCATTCTCAGGAGGATGACCCTCAGGGCTTCATCCCTCCAGATTCAAGTTCAGCAAAAAAGAGCAACTGTTTGCCCCAGGCAAGGTTCTAATTAAGATTTGCTCTGATTGGATCAACTTAGGTCTTAGGTCACTTTTCTACCAATCATATTTGGTAGGGAGGGAGCTGCTGTGCTCTGATTGGCCAGGCCCGGACCACTTGCCTGCTAGAGTGAGGAGTGGAGGTACCTTGTCAAAACCACCTGTACCAGGGCCGAGGGGTTGGTCCCCAAATGGACACTGAGGGCCTTACTGGAATTTGGGGATATGGGTGTCGGGCACCGCTACTAGTGGAGGTCACAGGAAGGTGTCCCAAAAGTATGAGGAAGCAATGCCGGTCCCAGCAGTCACTAAACAAAGGTGAATTTCTTTAAAATAGAGATGGGGCTGTTTCAGGATTGCAGTTCATTCATAAAGCACAATGGTGCCTGGTATGGGGTTGGTCACCTTGGTGTTTGCCAAATTATAAAGGCCAGACTTGCCACTCCTGTGGGCAATTACGTGTCTTCCTCTACACTTCATCCATTCATTCAACACGGTTACTGAGCACTCACTCTGTGCCAGGTACTGTTCTAGGTTGGGGCGGCGGGGACAGCCAGGTGCGGGGACCCAAGAGGGCACATGAGTTTCTGACATAATTAGCTCTAGAGAGGCTAAAATAAAGGAATAAAAAAAGAGATAGAAACCGCCCCCCCTCCAACAGCTCAGGAGACCCCACTTCCCAGCCGGTGAATCGCTCTGAGTTTCCGTTTTCCTCTCCCAGAGCTCCTGGCCGGCCGCCCCCTCCCCCCACCCCGCCCCCCACCAAGTCCTGACGTTCTTGTACTCTTTAGCTCACTGGCCTCCCAGGAGCCTTACCCTCTAGAAAGGAACTGGGTTCAGGGGAAACCCCCCAGCCTCTATTAGTTTCAGCTCAGATGAGTTGGCTGCTTTTAAAGTGACTTCTCTATGGCGCAAACAAAAACTCACACTAAAACCAACACAACACAAACATAGATGGGGCAGGTCCGAGCCCACACCTGAGTCTTCGAGGTCTAAAAGCCTCGGGGGCGGCGACTCCTCCTCCAGCCGGCTGTTTCTCTTTCCTGTTCTTCCTGAGGCCTCTGGATTCAACCCTGCCCTGGGCCCAAGGCCTGCTGCCTCCCTCTTTCCTCCTGCATTCACACCTCCGTGCTCAAAGCAAACTCTCACTTCCCCAAAGCCACAGTGGCCACACCCTGCCTTCGCCTCTTCTGCGTTCACACCTCCAGTATCAGACTGAACTCTCATTTCCTCAAAGCCACGTTCTTTAACCCCAGGCCTCAGCACAGCGGACCTGGTCCCCTTTCCTCGAGTAATTTCCTCTGCTCCTCGAGCTTCCCTGTGTGCCGAGGCCACGCTCCTTTCCCTGAGCCTAGCCCAGTGTACACAATCATTGCTTTATTCCAGTAACGTCAGTGAATTCATTCTCTCACTGTTGTGGGGTCTCACCTGGCACTTACCATCTCATTTCATCCTCCTGTTAGCCTTCCAAGGAAGGTACTAGCAGCTCTTTTTGGGCAAAGAAGGAAAGGGAAGCACAGGAGGGCACAGGAATGAGAGCTCACCTACCTCACTAAGACAGACACTCTACTTTTCCACTCTTTAGCACTGCACCCATCTTCCTTGCTATCAGATCCTACTTTTGTGCACAGCAGCAAATGTATCTAACCCCAGAAAAAAAATACTTGTTCTCCCAGCCTGCTTTGCAGCTGGGGTTCCAAGATAGCACAGTTATGGCCAACAAGATACAAGTGAAAATCATCTGGAGAGGTGGCATCTGTGAAAGGTTTTGTTTTCTTAAAAAATGGTAGACCCCGCTGACACTGCCTTTGGTCCTGTCCCCTTCCCTGCCTTGAATACTGATGAGATGTCTGGAGCGTCAGCAGCCTTCTTGCAAACTTGAAGCCGGCAGTATGAAGACACATGCTAACATGCTAAGAATAGAGGAGCAGAAAGATGAAAAGACCTGGATTCTTGACTGCTATAATGGGTAGCCGAACCAATGCCAATGGCTGCCTTATTACAGGAACAAAAGGAAAATGAAACCACCTATTTATTTACTTGCTGTTGGCCTGGCCTTTTGTTATCGTTAGCTGATGGCACTTTAACCGGGGTCCTGGGACTTCTAGCTCCATGCTCTCCTTTCCACTGTATCATTGTGCTCAGCAGGCACTGAAACAAGGGGTGAATCACTTGTTTTTGATCAGCAAGGCTGAGAACTGGGGGCCCTTTAGATAGGAAAGAGAAACCTGTTTTGAAACAGGAAGAACTGTTGGTTGCGGGCAGGAGCTGACAACATGGTGACGTGCACTCCTTCAGCAACCGCTCCCAAGCACCCGCCGGCCCAGCCCAGTGCACCAGACTTGGCTCCTTACCATGTGATCATTGCCTGGTGGGCAGGAAAGCACCGGCCTGCACAGCCACGCGTGCTTTACCTGGGGCTCTCTGTCACGGAGCCTGGCTGCTCCTTGTTCCTTCTTCCAAAGCAGAGGCCTAGGGGTGCCCCGGCTCCTCTTGTTCCCTTGCCCCAGCATTCCCCTGTCACCAAGCCTGGACAGCCTGGCTCCCAATATCTGCTAAACCCATTTCCTTAGCTGGCCCGCTGCCACTCCCTGTTCTAGGCCTCGCGTCTATTCCCCGAATAGGACAGAAGTTACTGCCTATTTGCTGGCATCCCCGCGTCCACTCTCTCTGCTTATACTCCAGCTTCCACCAGGCCACCTGAGGCATTGTCCTCATTTACAAACATAAGTGTGCTTCTCAGATGCCTCCAAAAATGATCATATAACATCGATTCCTTCACTCATGTGACCATTCAGCAAATAATGATTGAGGCTGTACGCACAAAACACAGGGTATGAGGGAAGGTCAAGCGTGGGCCTACATTAGGAGCTCACAGCCCAGTGGGGAGCTGCCCAATCTTCAGAGAGGCCAGGGAAATATCCCCTCTGCTTAAATGGGTCACCATGACCCTAAGAAGGTTCTTGGAACCTGGTAGATGCTGGATACACAGTGAGGCCAGCTTTCCAGCCAGCAGGGCACCAGTCGTGGACATGAGCCATCTTGGATGGGCCAGCAACTGCAGCCCCAGCCAACATCGTGTGGAGCAGAAGAGCCACTCAGCTGAGCCCAGCCACCCACAGAATCACGAGATGATAAAATGGTATACTGAAACAATTTCCCGTTTTTACTGACTTTTCAGAGCCCAAATCCCTGCTAGCTTTAATTTAAATAAAAATTTATTTGAGCCAAAGAGAAAGTACCACCTGGAAGCAAGATCTCAACAGACTTGAGAAACATCATTCTTGCTGTTTTTTCTTTGGTCATTTACCCCTCCTCCCTGCCCTCTTTACCCTCCCATCACCCAAGAAATGTTCAACTCTTGGGACATCCAATTCCATCCAGGCCTTGCGGGATATGGGAAGTAGGGCAGGGTAAGCTCTTGGGAGGGAGACAAAGATCTAGGATGGTTCTAGAAGACTTCTGAAGGCCTCAAGGAAGGTGATATGATGGGCAGTCATCTGTACAATCTGAAGTTTAATTCGATTTAGTTCCCATGTACTAACCATGTGCTCTGTGCCAAACTGTGCCAGGAGCTGGAAGTGAAGAGAAGGGGGAGACCCAGCCTTCTGCCCCCCAGGGGCTCGGAGGCCAGTAGGAGGGACAGATGAGTAAGTCAACACCCAGCACGTGGTTTGATCCACATACCACAGGAATGTACTAGAAAGGAAGAGACTCTGGTCTCATGGTGCCAAGGTAGAGAGGCTTCCGCGCCCTCCACCTCGCTGGAAAGCAGCCATGACAATGAGGAGAGCACGAAACAGAAACACAAATTCTCATCTTCAAAGAAACCAGGAGACACCTGTGACCTTAACCATGGCCCACAAGCAGAAAAGCAGATGGAGAAGTGGTAAATGATTTAACAGAACCCTGGCAAGGCAAACCGAACAGCCTGCTGTTCCATTGCGAGGTGGGAGGGGGAGGGGTGGGGGTGGAGCCCAAAGAGATGCAAACCCACTGGCCTTGCAGAACCCCAGGGAGGCTCCCCGGTAGGAAACTCAGACATCACAGATGGCTAAGTAGGAGGCTGAAAACAAAGCAGAGAGGGGTGTTGTTTGGAAGTCTGCCTAAGGACCAGTTCAGATCCCAGGTCTCTGCCTCTGCACTGCCCAGCCAGGCAACCATTCCTCTCTAAACCCGAGCAGGGAAAATCCAGCCAGAGAGCTCTGGACCCAAGGCCACTGCCTACTGGCTACAGAGCAGGAGGGTGTGAGACCCCAGACTAATTACTGGGCGTTTGGTAGATTTGATGATGCTGAGCAGGTGGTCACTCCCCTTCCTCACCCCTACCTCCTGGGCCGGGGTGTAATTTCCCACTGCAGGGATGTGAGCCTTGGCCACGTGATTTGCTTTTGGCCAATGGATTGTTAGCATATGTATCACAAGGAGAGACCTGAATGTTTCGCCCTTGGGCTCGCTCTCTTGTGCTTACAAAAGAACAAGCCCTCGAGCCCCTGCAAGCCTGCTGGCTCAGAGTATTAAAGAAACATGGAGCAGTACCCCTGGGAACGGCTGCTGTAGAAGTAACTCCATCCTCAAAGTGCCCTCTGCAGCAGGTATTGAAGATGAGTGACTGAGGCTCAGAGAAGTCAAGTTACATATCCAAGATCACACAGCTAGTGAATAAATGGTGAAGCTGAGATTCAACCCCAGCAGGACCTCGCAGAGACGGATGAACCAGAAGACACCCTTGATGGGGACTTCAGTGACAAAGCCCCAGG